AGCCCTAGTCACACCTCACCTAGTCACACCTCCCTGCATGTGACTTACACAGCTTTCCTAAACACTTCCTGTAAAGAGTCCTCTAATGTTTATACTTCCTTTATTGTAAATTATGTTTAATTTAGAATTTTTTTATCTACTGCTCTGGTAATAGTTTGCTAGACCCCGCAGGAGCCTCCTGTATGTAATTAAAGATCAATTTACAGAGCAGGAGATATAAACTTTTTAGGTAAATTACATCTGATTGAAAGTGAAACCATTTTTTTCCATGCAGGCTGTGTGAGTCACATGTAGCGGAGCTGAAGCTAGGGCGTCATAAACAGAACCGAAATTGATTTAACTCCTAAATGGCAGAGAACTGAGCAGTGAGACTGCAGGTATATGATCGATACACTATAACTGCTTCATTAAGCTAAAGTTGTTTTGGTGACTATAGTATTCCTTTAAAAATAAATTTTAAAATCAAATGAGAAAATATAAAAACAAATTAAAAAATGTAAAATAAAAGATAAAATTTAAATAAACTAATAAATATATTATTATAGAGATTTTGTTTCTCGAAATTCTTAACCATATATCCTCTAGGTAAAACACAATAAATCAGCATCTAGAAGTTGTAGCTTACTAGCACTCTGAGCAGATGTACTGCTTCAGAGCTCTGTGTTATTTTTTATTTTTTTTAAATAATAAATGTATCAATGCTTTTTTTGTCCAGAGACAGACATGCCTGAGCGTAAAATGAGTCCTGGCCATTTGCTAGAGGAAGTACTTGAGATAGGAGCCTCCTTCTCTCTCACTGGACCTGATGGTAGATTCTCTCCAGGGTTTTATATCGGCTTCAGAGAATGAAAGCCTGGATATACCAGAGGCTCTGTCCTGAGAAAAGGGCAAGCACAATGGAAAAAGGATTTAACTTCCACAAGAAATATTTCTAATTTAATGGCTGATGTTAAAGCCTTCTTCACTGTGAAAATGGTGGCTCTGAAGGGAACACAAACAGCGGCAGAACTACCGCCAGTGAGGGGGCCCATCGCGCGGTAATTCAGTAAGGGCCACCTGATGGCAATGTGTCTTTAGGGGCCCGGTCAGTGCTGCTGCCCTTTAAAAGTGCAGCTAGGCCCCTTTAATGATGATAGCACTGGAAAAAAGTGATAGCCAGTCATCTCTTCCCAGCTAACATCGAGCACCAAGCTGGAGAGGCACAGTGGGAAGCACAGACTGGAAGAGACTCCGACTCTCAACAGTCTCAACCAGCCGAAAGGGCCGCAAGGACGCCACCCTTCTGCACCTATAAGGTCGGAAACCAGAGGTTGGCTAAAAAAAATTACATTTTGCATGTGTGTCTCTTTGTGTCTTTTTGTGTTTATGTATGTGTATCTGTGTGTCTCGGTATCTGTATATGTGTCATTCTGTGTGACTGTTTATATGCATGGGTGTTAGTGTGTGCATCTGTGTATCTGTATTTGTATATCTGCATGTGTGTCAGTGTGTGTCTGTGTATCAGTGTGTGTATCTGTGCATCTGTGTATCTGTATGTGCATATCTTTATGTGTGTTAGTGTGTGTGTCTGCATATTTACATTGGCGTAAGTGTATGTATCTGTTTGTCTGTGTGTCTGCATGTGTGTCAGTGTGTGTCTGTGCATCTCCAGGTGTGTCAGTGTATCTGCATGTTTGTCAGTGTGTGTATCTGTGCATCTGTGTATTTTCTACTAAACTTTTACAAAAGTACATGAAAACACACAGCACTATACACAAATTCACCCCTATATTCACACACACATACTCCATACAAACACATGCTCACATTCAAACACACAAACGACTGCTCAGTGCTATATACAGGGAGTGCAGAATTATTAGGCAAATTAGTATTTTGACCACATCATCCTCTTTATGCATGTTGTCTGTATAGGCTTGAAAGCCTACTACCAATTAAGCATATAAGGTGATGTGCATCTCTGTAATGAGAAGGGGTGTGGTCTAATGACATCAACACCCTATATCAGGTGTGCATAATTATTAGGCAACTTCCTTTCCTTTGGCAAAATGGGTCAAAAGAAGGACTTGACAGGCTCAGAAAAGTCAAAAATAGTGAGATATCTTGCAGAGGGATGCAGCACTCTTAAAATTGCAAAGCTTCTGAAGCGTGATCATCGAACAATCAAGCGTTTCATTCAAAATAGTCAACAGGGTCGCAAGAAGCGTGTGGAAAAACCAAGGCGCAAAATAACTGCCCATGAACTGAGAAAAGTCAAGCGTGCAGCTGCCACGATGCCACTTGCCACCAGTTTGGCCATATTTCAGAGCTGCAACATCACTGGAGTGCCCAAAAGCACAAGGTGTGCAATACTCAGAGACATGGCCAAGGTAAGAAAGGCTGAAAGACGACCACCACTGAACAAGACACACAAGCTGAAACGTCAAGACTGGGCCAAGAAATATCTCAAGACTGATTTTTCTAAGGTTTTATGGACTGATGAAATGAGAGTGAGTCTTGATGGGCCAGATGGATGGGCCCGTGGCTGGATTGGTAAAGGGCAGAGAGCTCCAGTCCGACTCAGACGCCAGCAAGGTGGAGGTGGAGTACTGGTTTGGGCTGGTATCATCAAAGATGAGCTTGTGGGGCCTTTTCGGGTTGAGGATGGAGTCAAGCTCAACTCCCAGTCCTACTGCCAGTTCCTGGAAGACACCTTCAAGCAGTGGTACAGGAAGAAGTCTGCATCCTTCAAGAAAAACATGATTTTCATGCAGGACAATGCTCCATCACACGCGTCCAAGTACTCCACAGCGTGGCTGGCAAGAAAGGGTATAAAAGAAGGAAATCTAATGACATGGCCTCCTTGTTCACCTGATCTGAACCCCATTGAGAACCTGTGGTCCATCATCAAATGTGAGATTTTACAAGGAGGGAAAACAGTACACCTCTCTGAACAGTGTCTGGGAGGCTGTGGTTGCTGCTGCACGCAATGTTGATGGTGAACAGATCAAAACACTGACAGAATCCATGGATGGCAGGCTTTTGAGTGTCCTTGCAAAGAAAGGTGGCTATATTGGTCACTGATTTGTTTTTGTTTTGTTTTTGAATGTCAGAAATGTATATTTGTGAATGTTGAGATGTTATATTGGTTTCACTGGTAATAATAAATAATTGAAATGGGTATATATTTGTTTTTTGTTAAGTTGCCTAATAATTATGCACAGTAATAGTCACCTGCACACACAGATATCCCCCTAACATAGCTAAAACTAAAAACAAACTAAAACTACTTCCAAAAATATTCAGCTTTGATATTAATGAGTTTTTTGGGTTCATTGAGAACATGGTTGTTGTTCAATAATAAAATTAATCCTCAAAAATACAACTTGCCTAATAATTCTGCACTCCCTGTACTGTAACAAACTCCATATCCTGGTGTTCAGCTGCCCGTATTCCCTTGTTCGCTCCCCAATCAAATGGTGTGTGGTCCCCCTTTTTATCCCCCTATGAACGCCGATCTCCCCTGGCTGTTAACCCCAAATTGGTTATTAGCTTGAGTGCTTCCAGGCCATTTTGTCTCCCAAACGCAGGCAGCGGTGCCTGGTCGTCAAACTCCTGGAACTATTTTCGGCCTCGCGTCTCTGCAAACCCGGGCAAAGATGGTAGCTCTGCCCACTTCCTGACCAACTAGATGAACGGCATTCGGGAGGATCTACCAAACAGTGGGAGCATTCCCTCCGTAACAGCCAAGGAGAGCATTTATCTGTGTTTCCCTGACAACCCCCGAAAAATGACCGGTAGTTGCTTTGTTTTCTATGGAACTATTTTGGAGCATCACCTTGGCACCACTGGCAAATTGTCCAGCTGCAGGGTAAAGAGGTGCAAGACCTGAGAGTCACCGGAGTGACCTTCACTCTGGTCCGCAGACACCTGGTACCAGAGGCAGCACAGACAGGGAACTCCATAGCCGTTCGAGTAGCAGGGGGAGCTTCCCACAGCACAGGTGTATTTGAATTCAAGTATGAGGTCAAGGATAGTGGAGGTGGGGTTAATGCAGCACTTGCCAGCTGAGGTACTACTGGGAAACAACTTGGGCAAGCTGAATTCCGCCTTTGAGCCACCGACCCAAACTGCAGAAGTATACCCAGTCACCATGAGACAACAAGCCCTCACCATGGACCGTTGCTCACCTCCGGAGGCTCAGGTAAGCCCAGATACCCTGACCCAAGAAAACCTCCCTTATCATGCCCCATCCAAGTTTGGGAGAGAAGTAGTAGCAGACTCCACTCTCCAGTTATACATGGACCAGGTGGTAACTAGTCAGGCTGGGTTAGAAGGAGAAAGGTATACCTGGGTTTAGGGACTGTTATATAGGGAGGCTGAAAGGTTAGTGGCGGGGTCCGAACCGACCCATGTCAGACAACTCGTGGTACCGCAGAAGTACAGACAGGAATTACTAAGAAAAGCTCATGTTATTCCCCTTTCAGGGCACTTAGGGGTTAGATGAACAAAATATCGGCTCACCCAAAATTTCTTCTGGCCAGGTATCTTGATGGATATTAGACAGTACTGCCAGACCTGTGATACCTGTCAGAGGGTAGGAAGAGGGGGGACCTACACAAGTCCAAGCTGCAAAACCTACCAAATTATTGAAGAATCCTTTGGGAGAGTGGCAGTCGACCTAGTGGGGCCCCTAGCCAAGCCTAGTCCCTTCAGCAAGAAATACATCTTGACGGTAGTGGACTATGCAACCCGGTATCCAAAGCAACCAACATCCACACTAAAACGGTTGCGGAAGCCCTGATATAAATCTTGGGGGGCGTGGCTTGCTGGCAAATGGAGTAAGCCGTACATCGCCGGAGCTCCGCAACCCCGGCCCACATCGCCCCAAGTAATTAGCCACACTGCTGCATTAAAATGGGGAAACCCAGACGCCAGGGCACCCCGGGACCCTCGGGCAACAGCCCTCCGCAGAAAAACATCGGGCCGATTTCCTATCTACACCCGACGGCCTCCGAACCATGCGGCCCGCTGACAAGATGGCCGCCGCCTCCCTGGGTGCAGAGAGTGGAGCAGACTCGGAGCAGGGCTCGGCGCGAGGAGAGGCTCTCTCACACATCACGGCCGAGCTAGCAGCCATCTCGGCTAATATGCTCACTAAAAAGGATAAAACTACCCTGGTCACGGAATTGAGAGCGGCGATCCGGGAGGAGATAATGGCGGTGCGCAAGGATCTCACAGCCCTCGAAGACCGAGTCACAGAGCTGGAGAGGGAAAACCTGCAGGCCCTCCAGCACTCCCAGGCTGCTGATCATGCCACGGCCAGGCAGGGGTCGGTGCTCCTGGAGCTTCGCAGGCAAGTAGAAGATTTAGATAATAACGCAAGGCGCAATAACATTAGGGTCAAAGGCCTTCCTGAAGCAGATAATGAAGACCTTGGGGATGTCCTCCCACAGCTGTTTACCCCCGGACGAATACCACATAGAGCACGCCCACAGGGCTCTGCGTCCCCCGAGGAGAGATGGCCTCCCAAGCGACTTGATATGCTGCCTCCTCTCCTTTCAGCTTAAAGAAGCCATCATGAGAGCGGTGCGCCCACAATGCATCATCTTCCAGGAAGCCCCAATATCGCTGTACCAGGATTTGTCCACCCTCACCTTGGACGCCCAGAGGGCGCTTAGGCCGCTGACACTCATCCTCAAGGACAAGCGCATTCCCTATAAATGGGGCTTCCTTTTTTGCCTCCAGGCCAAAAAGGACAATACCTGGCGTTCCCTGAGATGGCCCAATGACGGAGGGAAGCGCAGCCCATGCGCTGGGGGTTCCCCATGGATCTGAGGAGTAGCCGCAGGCACCTCTGCCCGAGTCCGGAGAGCGCCGACCCTCCCGGACCGGCATCGCCCTACAGGGGGCTCCCTGGGCGGCAACACTGCGAGCTAAGTGACTCCACATAGATTCTTTCCTCCTCACAGTCGAGGGGGACCCTTGGCGGGCAGCCCGCCCAGCCCCCATTAAGCATCCAGGACTACACAGGTGGCACCGATGGGGAGGGTTGACCCTCGGGTCTCGGACATTTTTGGGAGGGGAACGGGGGATATGGTTAACTGGGACTTCCTGGGGAAGCAGGGTCTCTAAGGCCCGGGGTACCTGTACGAGACTGCGCGAATCCCCCTCATACGCCCGTCTGGCTGGTACCCGGGTCCTCCTCATACACCAGCCAGTTTCTGCGCAAGAGGCCTACCTGCCCCCGTGGCCACCGGGAAGTGCCCCTGGACCTGCAAGCTGTGACGGTATCAACGGGTGCATGTTTGGGGACTGGGAGCTATAGTAGAGATACTGATGGGGCCCGCACCTCTACGCTATATATTATTTTCCTCCATTTTTATTGTTGGAACGAGAGCCACGATACCTTGTAGGCCGCCCCAACTCGCGGCTTATCGCCAAATGAGGCATGGGTTTGGCCCTCTCTGCAGGGGGTCCCGGGACTCAGCGTGTCTCCTCCCTTGGTCGCGACCCCGGGGCCACCCCGCTTTATTGGGCGGAACGGTTGCCTACCTGGGTGGCGCCTCGTGCTGGTCGGGGGACGCACGATCAGCCGAGGCCCCGGGGCCTCTCACCATATACTACCGATGGCTGCACATAATGGGGGCCGGCTGGGCTGGGCTGGGTGGCCGGCCGGGATGCTGTGTGCTCCCAGGCCGATCAATGCTCTCCCGTTCTGCTTACATTCAGCCACAGCCGCGGCCTGGAGCTTGCATAGCTCTTTATTTGCAGACTCCCCCCCCCCTGCAGAGATGACTATTAATGCCCAGACACGATCTATCACTAGCTCTTCATACAACATGGTTTTTTTTTGGGGGGGGGGGGGGTTGTGAGTATGAAACCATTATTGCATAGCACATTATGTAGTCAGCCGCTGTCAACCGTATCAAAAAGGACTGTTTATCTGACGCAAGGGGCAAAGAATGATAGGTTTGAGGCTTTGGATGGCCTCCGCACCCCCAGATAATCAGCAGATGACTCTAATGCTTGGCAACTGATGGTCTGACGGGCGGGATTAGCCGTATATGTTCCCGGCCGGCTCTCAGAGCCCTCTCCCGTTTTTTCCTGCTACATGGTTATACACGCTATAAGGTCCTACATACACTGGCCGGCAATGCCCCCCTGCTCAGACCTCTTCCAACCACGGAGGCGGCATGAGGACCCCCTAGCACTCTGGCCCCTAGCCTCCAGCCTGTCAGGTTGCCTGATTCTGACACTAGCCGGACCCTGTCCCGGGGCCTGGCCTCTGACTGGACATGGCCCTGCCAGCAAATTTTTTTATTTATTTTTTTTCTCTTTTTTTCCAGTAGTTCCCATACAGTGGCAGGTTGCCTATTTCGGGTGCCTTACCGGACAGAGCTCTCAACAGAGCGCCACGGGCTGTGCAGGGTCCTATGCCCGGACTGGGACAGGTCCCGGACACGGTCTTAGTGCCGTGGACCCGCTCCCCCCACTCCTTGTACATATTGTTGTTTCGGTTAGGTTACACGCCACAATGTTAGGTTAGCAATGGCTGATAGTATTCCCCTGTTTAGACCTCCCCCAGCTGCTGACGGGACATGCGGACGCATTGGTGCTCCAGCTTCTCTCGGCTACAGGAGTGTGACAAATGAGCGCCACGGGCTGTTCAGGGTCCTATGCCCGGACTGGGACAGGTCCCGGACATGGTCTTAGTGCCGTGGACCCGCTCCCCCCACTCCTTGTACATATTGTTGTTTCGGTTAGGTTACACGCCACAATGTTAGGTTAGCAATGGCTGATAGTATTCCCCTGTTTAGACCTCCCCCAGCTGCTGACGGGACATGCGGACACCTTGGTGCTCCAGCTTCTCTCAGCTACAGGAGTGTGACAAATGACCCGAGTCCCTGACGCCAACCAAACCCCGCTACTCTATCCAGCCTCCCACCGGACATGAGCCTAGCAATACCACGACTTAACCTGCCCGGGTGCAGAGAAGGGTTGCCTGCACCTGGGGACAAACTTACTGGGACTGGTCTCTCCCTCCCACATTAGACCCGTGACCCGCATAGGCAGCCACCAACCGCTCACAACCAGACGGATAGGCCTTCACTTTGACGCATGGGACCCGGGAGGGTGACTCCTCCCTAGCTGTGAACACAGGACAGAAGCGGGACCGCCCGCGATGACCCCACCCCGCACCACTCACACAATGCGCAGGTTACCAGTGACCAGGGCGACTGACCCCTCTATAAGTCCCAACCGGCACCCGCAAAGTGCCTGCTCTGACCTCCCCTTAAGCGGCAACGCACTCTCAAAGTATGCAGCAGACTTATTCGGTGCCCCTCTCCGTGGGTCGGGGGAGAGCGGATACCGGTCCTCCTGACGGATTCCACCAACCGGACTTCCTCGCCCCCTAGCAACTGGCCCTCCTGTATATAAGGTCTCCCCTACAAGACCTAGGGCCACAGTTGCCCACTGTTTCGTAGCCCTTAGTGGGCTGATACCCCTGACAGACACAGTTCCCAACTTGCCCCCCCATCTTACCCCTCCTCCATCCCCTCCCCTCCTCTTTTCCCTTCCTACCTCCCCCTCTCCCTCCCTCCCACCTCTCCCGTTTGAGGCCCCGGGTCCCGGTCCCCCACCCCGCTGGGTGGCCGAGCAGCCATGGCAACCACGTTCAACCCTGCGCCTCAACATCTATGCTCACACAATGTCAGAGGCCTTAACTCCCCCGAAAAAAGACGACACTTGCTCCGAACTCTGTGGTCTCAAAAGACCTTGATAGCATTTCTCCAGGAAACACACCTTAAAGGGAAGGACGCCCCCCAGATCAGGGATAGGAAGTTCCCCCAGGGATTCTACGCCAACAACCCGGAAGCTAAGTGCACGGTTGTTGCCATTATCTTTGCCCACACTGTCCCCTTCCTCAGCACGGCTACCCAGACAGACCCTCTAGGCAGGTTCCTATTAGTGAATGGTACGATAGCGGACCACAAGTACACGTTCGCCACCATTTACAGCCCGAATAAGGGACAACACCGGTTCCTAGCGGCCACCCTTTCCCGGCTGGAGAGATTCCGGGAAGGAACCCTGGTGCTAGCTGGAGATCTTAACCTCCCACTGGAACCCCGGGTAGCCTCGTCTACAGGTACCAGCACCATCCCCTCACACTGTGTACGAAGTGCCAAACAGGCATTGGCTAGGTCAGGCTTGGTCGACTGCTGGAGGGTGGCGCATCCCGAAGCTAAAGATTACACGTGCTACTCCGCAGCACATAACAGATATAGCAGGATAGACTATATTTTTCTCGCCCAAGAGTTTCTCCCCTTTCTGATCACGTCCACCATAGGGATACAACACGACTCCGACCATGCCCCTGTCCATGTCACGCTTAAATCGCTGCTTTTCAAGCCACGGGAGCGGCAATGGAGACTTAAAGGACCACTATAGTGCCAGGAAAACACACTCATTTTCCTGGCACTATAGTGCCCTGAGGGTGCCCCCACCCTCAGGGTCCCCCTCCCGCCTGGCTCTGGAAGGGGGAAAGGGTTAAAAACTTACCTTTTTCCAGCGCTGGGTGGGGAGCTCTCCTCCTCCGATCCTCCTTCTCTCCTCCTCCTGGGCTGAATGCGCACGCGTGGCAAGAGCTGCGCGCGCATTCAGCCCGTCTCATAGGAAAGCATTTACAATGCTTTCCTATGGACGCTTGCATGCTCTCACTGTGAAAATCACAGTGAGAAGCACGCAAGCGCCTCTAGTGGCTGCCAATGAGACAGCCACTAGAGGATTAGGGGGAAGGCTTAACCCATTCATAAACATAGCAGTTTCTCTGAAACTGCTATGTTTATAAAAAAATGGGTTAACCCTAGAAGGACCTGGCACCCAGACCACTTCATTAAGCTGAAGTGGTCTGGGTGCCTAGAGTGGTCCTTTAATGAAAGTGTCCTGATGGACGCCGATTTTACCACACAGATCGCGCAAACACTGACCCAATACTTTGCTGAAAACAGCAGCCCAGACATGGCGCCTCTGACGGTATGGAAAGCGCACAAATGCGTGATTCGGGGCCAGTTCATTAAGCTATGCACGCAACGGAAAAAGGAACATACCGCAAAGATCCAAGAACTGATACACGCGATAGCCGACCTGGAGACGTTGCACAAGCAAGATCAAATGGACGACACCTATCGCCTCCTCACCGACAAGCGCAGGCAACTCAAAGACCTACTCTGTCAGAAACTGCTGCATACCATTCGAAAGTCCAACAGACATCTTTATGAATTTTCCAACAAGTGCGGAAGAACACTTGCCCGCACTCTGCAACAGAGGCAGCGACAACATTACATCCACCAGATTACAGGAAGGGATGGGGTGACGAAAAGGACTCCAGCAGACATCCTTCAGACATTCAGGCTCTTTTACTCAGAGCTTTATAATATTGACACCACCGCACAACGCACGGAGGCATCGCAACGCCTGCAATGGATGAATGACTTTCTCTCGGAGTACGTTGGGCGCAGGGTCCCGGAAGATCTGGCTGAGGAACTGGACCAGCCTATCATGGAGGAAGAACTCGTTGCCGCCCTTAAACAGTCCAAATCCAACAAGGCCCCGGGCCCAGACGGCCTACCGGTCTCATACTTGCGTAAGTTTAGGGACACACTGTTCCCACACTTGCTACAGGGCTTTAACTCCCTATTGGAGGGTGGTGGGTTCCCAGCAGATTCTTTACACACAACGGTGACGGTCATACCAAAGGAGGGAAAGGATCCCACCAACTGCGGGAGTTACAGACCGATTTTGCTCCTTAATTCGGATCTTAAGCTATTCACCAAGACCTTAGCCATTCGACTCTCCCGCGTACTCCCCACGTTGGTGCACCCCGACCAGGTGGGGTTCATCCCGGGTAGTGAGTCGCGGGACAACACCATACGAGC